ATAAGCCACATGTTCAGTGGCAGCCAATAAGAAAAAAAACACCGGCTACTTTTTTTCCGGGATAATATGCCAGCTGCCGGCACTACAGGCACGTCCCAATATCAATGAAGCCATTTTTCTGCTGTGCCACTTCACTGTTATTACAGATTTGGAGTGAGCTTGAAAACGGTACCAATGGACTGTAACCGCTCATAAAAAACTACAGATCCTGCTCGTATACAAATACAAGGTACCGAAAAAAATGTATAAGTTAGGCTTACGGGAGGAACGAGCATCGTACTGAAACCTTGCATTAATTTTTCTCTTCCTACACCAGTTGTCAAAATTGACGGGTGGTCGAAAAGAGCCTAAAGCAGAACGGGACGCTCTTGGCAAGCGGAAAGAACTGGGATCCTGTTACCAGACACGATGAACCAACGAATGATAAGAAGGCCCGTGCCATAGCACGAATGATCGTGCTATGGGCCTTCTGCTGCGCCGTTCCATACGCTCACAGGCACTAGAAAAAAAGAAGACAACGTTCGTTTTCCGAGAGATAAGAATATTCCAAGGAAGGGAACGGCATGGTGGAGTTTTACCATGTATAGATGTAATACTGTAGTAAAATTTCGCCATCACGCAATTTTCCAAGCAATTCACAATAAAATATTTTTATTGATGAGGCTTAGTAAAATTTTTGATTTTGTAAGCATGTTGTAACGCCAGTTATTTTTCTAACTATATTGATTGGGAACAAGTGATACACTTGTATTTTGCATTAAATGTGATCAATTCGTACTGTGGCCAGTTTCGGTAAAATCATGCTAGCAGGAAAATTCAAGGAAGGTGACTAAAGCTTTTCGAGTCTGCTTGCGAAAATCACTAATACCAGGAATACACGTTGACAAGTTTAATATTTCTGACTTAAAAAAAAATGACAGCATATCCACAGAGTGAATGATGATAAATGAGGCGATGTGCTGGGGGGTTTCATCGCTAAACCGTGAACAATTCGCAAATATCGCCCCCTACACCATCAAAGACGTGACAAAGACTGTGTATATTTATAAAAGAAATTTTGTGATTCGTTTTGTTATTACGAATAATAAAGTTTCTTGTACATGTCACTTCCGTTCCCCTTTCACTATGACGGCTTTATGGTCGGTGATGTAGTGGATAGGTTGTGGGATGTTCGTAAGGACGAAGTACCGGCAATTGGCAAAGTTGGAACTACACGTGGTCACGTACATACATACAAGGAATAAACATACCCACTTAGGAGCTTTGCCCCTAAATTGCCATGCCTGCGCGGAAAGCACCATTTCTTGAACTCGTTGCGAACTCTTTTGCGGGTACTAGTACAAGTACGCTTGCAAAGTATACCCACTACTCCAATAATTGATTCGGTAGCTGATGTCGATGATTAATTAAAACCGATTCCTTTGTAATGGGTTGCTAGCCTTCAACAACCAACTATAAACAGAGTTCATATTGTTTTACGCCTCCCTGCATTTCCTTTGCTTTTCTTTTTCTGTCTCTGGTTTCTGAATTCATGTTTTGTGACGTCTCATTTTTATTGACTTTTCTGTCCCGTTATATAGCGCATGTTACAGTGGATCCTTCCCAACATAAAGCTTGTATATGGTTCTTGAGCTGTGAAGTTTCGAGTACCCTTGTAGCTCAGTGGTAGAATACCGGGGCTGGCATGGAGATTACCGAGTTCTAACTCCGTTCCGACCTGGTGCGTTCTTCCCTTATTTTTTTGATATTGAATGTGGACACCAGTGGAGGCGAACGTTGCGATTCAGAGAATGCTTACAATTATCGCGTTGAAACAGAGCCGTCAACAAGCGAATGCCACTAGAACAATGCTGGTGCTGAAGATGAAAGTATTCAGTTTGAACGTAACGATGAATGATTGGATAATGATGATAAATGACAATAAAGTTGATGAGGTCCAAGTTGAAATAGCACTGAGGGCAAGCAAATGACTTGTGATCATAAAAGCGCTTCAATTTACTGAGAGGAAGCGTTCTCAAAAACGGCGTTTAACATGCATATCGTTATTTAAAATATTCCATCTTTGGAAGCCTCCTCTTTAGGTTAGTCACCAGGATCTCTGTTTCGCGGTATAAAAATTTTTACGGAATCAAAGGGGTCTTGATCTCAAGTATCTGAACTAGCATCAATAATTTAATATAACTATTCTACAACTCATTAGTCATGCCTTTCTCATATCATACTCATAAATTATTTCTTCCAAGTGCGTCATACGTGAATCAATCATCATCACTCTCATCATTATTATCATCATAAAATTGGACCTTGAATGGTGATAATGACATTGATGATGAATGTAACTTATAAGGGTACTTGCTTGCGCGAGTTGCTAACAATGGATGATGAAACCACTCTAATGAAAGCGTTGAAAATAAGGGATCAGGCGTTGAGGATAGCGATAATCAGTGATAGTAGAAATGCTGAGTCAACGTCATTAGCAAGTGACAATTTCTCATAGCATAGTCCTTAATTGTTCACTTACATTAACCACTGGCTTCTTGGCCGATCCCCCTTTGTGGATGAGAGCCGAAACAGAGGAACAAGCAAGCAAGAGGCCATAGAACGTTTAGGGTTTGATGATGATAACAATAATAATGACGAACAACTAGTACTCATGAAAGGGGTGATTATGAAAACTAATGATGATGATAAAATTATGCGTTAAAAAAAGACGCTGGCAGGTAGTTCCCATAGACAAGAGTTAGTGTTAATTATTCTAGCGTAACTGCTCTTCCCAGCAGTTACACTAGGTTATCAACCGTTATCAATCGTCAATTAAGACATTTTGCTTCGTGGCCGCTTATCGACGCTCGCCTATCTTCCCCCAATCTGAGGAAAACATTGTCGTTATTGAAGGTGTTCTTAAAGTTAACGGTATATAGATGCGCTGTTTGGCACCTCGGTTTCATTTTCGCCAGCTAAGTTGGCCAGATTGCATTGCGCCGCGGTGATTACCAGTGGCCGCTTTTCCGAAATTTCAAAGTGGCTTCGATCTATTCGTATGAAGCGCTTAAATTAGATTCTTACACTCAGCCGGCTACTACAACTGGTTAAAAAGTGAAATATGTACTGTTTGCACCCATCTGAATATGCCTTCTGCCACAGGAAAGAAATGCCGCAAGTACCACGCATACACCTTGTTTCTGTTGTTTTTAAAGCATCTTGGCCATATTTCTTGAAACACCTTGTATAAAATATGAAAATATCGAGCAAGATGACCTAACAATGTTGCAGACTTTTAGCATATTTCCGGATATAGCCAATGCGCTTTATGTAGGTGTTCACGGGCATATATAAGAAACGATTTTTTTTTTTCAATTCAACTGTTCCTTCTCATTGACGAGTAGCTATTTCACTTATCGTTGCTTCATGGAAAGAATTCCGTGGTTGAACGGTTGACGAAGGCTTGTCCTGCGATCGCAGCAACTACCATGGAAAGCATGCCTCGGCGATGTGCCACGCTTCGTCGAAACTGCCCGACAAGCAGTGGCACGGTGTCTCCATTTCTCTTCGTACTGCCGGCGCGGGCGTCTCGTGACAGGAGTTGAGGACAGGAGTTGAGGCACACGCAGGCTAGCGACTTTCGCCGGCCAGCGACAGGAGGGCATGGGAGAGAACCAACCTACACAGTGCATGTTCTTGTTCCCTTTCACCTTCTGTTGTGGCACGACGCACGCGCGAGCAGGAAGAGGTGAAAGTCGACGTGGGCTGAAATGCAAGGTCAACTGCGTGCATGAATTCATTTTCTGGGGTTCGAACCCGAAAGAGCAGAGCTGTAGCTCTAAAACAAGGTCGTCAAAGTCACCTCGACCAGCGGGCCGCAGTCCTGAAATTTATCCCCGCATGACCAGTTACAGTGAAGAAGGTTTAAGAGGTGGGAAAAGGTCGTCAAAACGATATGCCCTCCAAAGCTGCAATATAAAAAAAGCCTAACAAATTAACAAACATTTTATTCCTTGTCAAGCGGAGGCCCGCTTGCGAAACATCCGTGGGCCGCAAGCTGCCCGCGGGATGCGCGTTTTATTCGCACTTTCCAGCACCTGTATGTGGCGCGGAGAGCGTTTCAATATGGCGAGACGAGAGATGATGGAGGCTAACCGAAAGCGTGCACGACTCCACAATCAGGCGGCTTTCGGACCTCAGGTATGTCCAACAGCTATCATTGACCTTGGCAAAAAAACACAGAGGTGTATTGTCAAAAGGGAAGGCAGCATTTCACTCTGGTAACGTCGTGTGTTGTGGAATACGGGAAACGACAAGCGCGGCCATTCATGTCGAGTCCCTCGGCCTGCAAGCAAGCGCAGTGAAAGCGCCTGCCGAATACAATAAAAATTAAAGTTTGGAGTGCAACAGGTGCCATAAATTTCAGTATTTCTTATTAAGTTTTGCAAGCTTTGTACAATATGCGAGAATTTAGAGCGCAGAGAGCGCTGGTGCTAGTGTAAACAAAGCACCACACGTGTGTTTATGGCGAGATGTATGGGTTCTCCGCGCCGGGTTAGCTGCAAAACGATTGTTCACATTACTCGAGAGACACGGACTCAGTGAAACAAGGGTGATTTAGGAGATAGGAACGCTGCACATGCGATTGCTCTTCGCTCGTAGCCCATCTTTCGCCATGGCCCAGCACGACTACGACGTGCCCGCACCAACCAATGCCATCACCGTCGTGCGGCTTCCGAAAAATTCCAGCGCTGTGGCACTCACTGACCTGGAAAGTGCGAATACCCCTGCTCTAAAAGGAGAGACATTGAATTGAATATCCTATCTGCTCTAAAATGAGAGACATCGAATTAGATATCCTATATATACTCTTAATCAGGTACCGCTTAAGGTGTAGAATAAAGCTAGGAAAGCGGACATTTTTCATCTGCTTTCCTATAAATACTGCCTCATTTCAGCAGGACCTGATTAAGAGTGCACAAAAAAGTCAGAATCTACACGCCACCGTTTTTTTTTTTGACAATACACGTTATTTTCATCGAAATACAATCAGAAAAACAACTACAGAAGTGAAAACTAAATGCGCGTTAAGCGCAAGCAGGGTTCCTTAACGTCCACCGTGTGAATGGGGCGCTTAGGATCCACGCCCAAATGTGCTCGCGGGACCAGCATAGTTCCGTGTCACCTGTCCAGCCCCGTGACGCTCTCTCTCTTTGATCATGCGTTATGGCTGGCGGGTCAGGTGCGGAGGAATTTGATAGCGCCGCCGGCCAACAACGCGATCCTGTGCGTGGTTGTCAGTCAGACGCGGCGCGTCCTCCTGCTGGATTCCAGACCACCGAGGGCTGCTGACAAGAGGTCTGGAGTCGCCGTCCTCCTCTTTCTCCTCTCTCAGCTTCTGCAAGTGTAGCCTTATGTTGTAACCGAAGTGACCCATGGTTGCGGAATACACAACGCAAGAGCGAATTGCATATAGTTTCTTCCTCTTTAACATACTACATAAGCACAAGTTGCACTTTCATTTGGGTAGCAGAAAACTACAGCTGTTTGCGTTCCTCTGAATAGCTACTTTCAGTTTATACAGAATGCTCCCCGTCAATTGATAGCTCCACTTTTTCGGAAACATGTCCGTCGTTAAGGTTCGCTATATCACTTTTCTTGATGTATTTCTGCATGGCCTTATAATGACGCGCTTGTCACGAACACTAATAACTGGATCTTGGATGGCGTGAAGTTAATAGTTTTGCTAGCACTTCATATAGGACGTGTGCAGTTATGCGTTACGGCGGGCTATGTTGAGTGGCCATGGAAGCTTTGCAGGTGAATGAAACCGTCGGGAAGTGGTCCGAAAGAAAGACCTCAACCAACGACGCAGTAAGAACGAAATGAAAACGTCTACTTTTCGGTATTTGTGTATGTCTGGGATATACAAGACTAATTACTGAGCGTGGTCGTAAATGGTCAAGAAAGACAAGAAATGATTGAGGAAAGCCTTATATGCACAAGAAACATGCGGAGTGAATCGAATGAAAATTTAAGAGCACCGGACTAGCATTGATTTCTTACGTGCGCTTTTCGCTGGGTTTTTGCTGGAGTTAGTTCCATTTTAATGTATCTGCTGTGCGAAAAGTGACCATTTCGCCTGAATGTGCTCTTTCACATCTAGGTGTGCTCTTTCATATTTAGGTATATTCTTGACTCTCATCGCAATGACCTCGTGCCACCCATTAGCATTGTCATTAACTCTCCATACTCAGGAAACCAGTGCCAGCTGATGCAGAAGTTGTGTTGTGTTCTTTGCCTTCAGGGAAGCCACCTTTTTGTTTGAGCTATTCTAGTGGCGTCTCATAGACAAGCCCAAGTTGCCATGACGCGCATAATTTACCATGTACCAACCGAGTGGGCAAGGAGAGGCGCGCGAAAAATGTGACGAATACTGGAGCGCTAGGATGAGAGGGCGAGAGCGAGAGAAAATTTATGCCTCAGATAATGCAGATCGTTTTTAGTGTCTAGTCTTCACTACGCATTAAGAGTGCTCATTAGAATGAACCCAACTTCATAGTGCTATCAGAGCTTCTCTTACAATGAATAGGTAACAACACCACTATATTCCAGTGAGTGTATGGGAGTGCAACAATTGTATTATTTAGATGTTTTTTCACCAGCTGACTACAGCAAGATCTTAGGGGGGACGTTCCTCTTAGTCTAACATTGTCCCGCGTCAGGAATGACAGGCAGTATCACCCGAACAATATGATAGATGGCGCTGTCTCATAGAAGTTCGCATCTTTTTTGTGTTTCACGAAGTATTACGGCTAAGTGGCGTTAGCCGCCATCTGATCTAAAGGATACAGTCATACAGGGTACAGCAATCAATCAATGAATCAATCAATAAATCATTCATCCATCCATCAATCAATCATCCATCCATCCATCAATCAATCGTTCATCCATCAATTAATCCATCAATCAATCATCCATCAATCCATCCATCCATTCATCCATCTATCCATCCATACATCAATCAATCAATCAAACATCTATCTATCAAGTGATGATTGATTGATTGATTGATTTGTGGGGTTTAACGTCCCGAAATCACCGCATAATTATGAGAGACGCCTTAGTGAAGGGCTTCGGAAATTTCGACCACCTGGCGTTCTCTAACGTGAACCCAAATCTGAGCACACGGGCCTACATTTTCGCCTCCATCGGAAATGCAGCCGCCGCAGCCGGGATCTGAACCCGCGACCTGTGGGTCAGCAGTCGAATACCTTAGCCACTATACCACCGCGGCGGGACACCAGTCAATCAATCAACCAATCGTTCATCAATCAATCATCATCAATCAATCATCCATCAATCCATCATCCATTCATCCATCTATCCATCCATACATCAATCAATCAATCAAACATCTATCTATCAAGTGATGATTGATTGATTGATTGATTTGTGGGGTTTAACGTCCCGAAATCACCGCATAATTATGAGAGACGCCTTAGTGAAGGGCTTCGGAAATTTCGACCACCTGGCGTTCTCTAACGTGAACCCAAATCTGAGCACACGGGCCTACATTTTCGCCTCCATCGGAAATGCAGCCGCCGCAGCCGGGATCTGAACCCGCGACCTGTGGGTCAGCAGTCGAATACCTTAGCCACTATACCACCGCGGCGGGACACCAGTCAATCAATCAACCAATCGTTCATCAATCAATCATCAATCAATCAATCATCAATCAACCAATCATCCATCAAGTAAACCTATAATCAATCAATCACACATCAATAAATCAATCAATTCATCAATCAATTAATCAATCATCCATCAATGCACCTACAAAGCGCAGTTGAGTGAAGATATTCTAGATGGTGCTGTGCGGCTTCTCTCAAATTGGCTGCTTTGCGGGCTGTGCCTGGATGCGCGGGGAACGAGTGTCTCTCCGAGTCTCCTGGATCAGTGCTGTACGTGTCGTATTGTTGGTGGGGCATGGACAAAGCGGAGCGGCAGGTGCGGAGGGCCACGGTGGCTCGCGCTCATCGCGAGACAAGCAGACAGACGCATGGAGGGACGAATGCACAGACGGACGGATGCACGGACAGTTGGATTCTTCGCTGCATTCATTATTTCCTCCGTGGATATAATGTGAATTTATTTTTTTTACTTTAGTTGCCTATAGTAAAAAGATGACGACACCAGGGATTGTTACGTCAGCGCTTGGGGTGTTCGTTACCATAAATTGTAGTTTCGTAAAATAATAGTATTCCTTTTTTTTTACTTTTTATAGGCCAGGGTGGTTTATGTCTATAAGGGTGACTACGGAACTAGGAAGGTAAGAAAAAGCACAGCTTTCCACAAACGCAACCCTAAGCCTAATGACACAAGGAGTTTCGTATGCTCGCATTACCATGTGATCCGGAATAGCAATATATGTACTACGAAACCTTGTCTGTCACTGCGACACAGTCCACCCTTAAAAAGGGACCTTTCACACAAATAAGCGTGCAGTTTTCATCCCTTCTCAAACTGTCGAATGCACTGATATCGAAGCGCAAGTGCTAACACCAAAAACAAAGCTGTTGTAATTTTATTTCTGTAGAAAAGCCACGCTATTTTCAGAATGGAATGACATATACAGTAGCTAGACAGTCTATGCCCTACATAATGCAGATCGTTTACGCGACAAGTCACATAATTGTTTTCACACGCTATTGAGTGGTAAAGAATGTACAAGTGCTACTTATACTTTCTCGTATACAATATAATTTTTGTTTTAAATATCAGATCTTGAAAACAAGTCTAAAACGATGAATAAGGACGCTGTTCAACTGCCACCCCGACGCATTTAACTCTCCGGCTGAACTGAAAGGCCGTTTCCAATCACCGCGTACGTCTTATTGATAACACCCACGTTGTGTTTGAAAACAGCCTTGGCTGTCAGCGGTAATATGAAATGCGAAAGGAAACGTTTTATAGCTTCACCTGCTCGAGTTTTGAACTTCAAATGCTATTAACATTAGTTTCACGGCACAATGTTTCATAAATGCTCTTGTGTTCATCTCGGCAATAATTACTACATGCATTACAGCGCTAAATAACGTAGCCTTAAAATTGTAGCAAGGCCCCAATAAACGAAGTATGCATGTGGAGCACATGTCTATTTATATACGGTATGGCATCTGAGCTTTATTCGCTTTATTCGCTTGGAACGTCTGTTGGCGACCTCCCTCTAACAGCACAAACCTGAAATTTCGCACATGCAATTTCGCTCGGTGCGTACAGTATTTGTTCCTTCCATTCTCTGCACTCTCCCTGATTTTACATTTACACTAATTATTTCCACTTATCTAACCAACATCCTACTTCTTCGCCAGGGTGATATCCGACTTCTCTCTGCATATAAAATAATAATTAACCCCATACCCTCTCCCCCTCTCCCAAATTATCCAGCGTCGTAACTTCAGCAAACCTTCTCAGAACCACTATATAGATGATTTGCTAGTCGCAGCGCAATAGCTTTTGGAGAGTGCGAGTGTGCAACGCCACTGCAAAAGCGTTGCAAAAATACTTGTCTCACCTTCCCCTTCATAACGGCGATGCAGCTGGTGTAGGCACTGGCAGGGCTCTGGAACAGATTCTGGAACTGGGTGGGTGCTCGCGCGCGCATCGCTATGCCGGTCACGACCCACTGGAAAGTGTGCAGTAGCATGTCGAGAACAGTGTAGAAGAGCTGTCGGGTCCAGTTGAGCACGTAACGGTAGCAGCCGAAGCACGGGTCCGCTTGTACTTGGAGCTGAAGTCTAAGGCCACGGTGTATTTGCGGTAGAGAGCTGCGCGAAAAGGATCGATTATTTTTCGTCAAGGACTTTGTGTTTTTTTATGTTTTAACTGAATGCACCGATGGATCCTATTACTGTGCTGAAATGACGCGGAAACAGCTGTCACGCAAACACGCACGTTGACAACCCTATGCTGCTTGCGCCCAAGTAGGACGGGCAGAATGAAGACGCCAAAAGAAATGCTGCGTCGCATTGTTTGATGCAGCACGTATTTATTAGTTGATACGTCACCATTGCGCAGTTGAGACAATGAAGGGGCTCGTCAGCGCAGTGAGTGCCTTTAAGACTACCTCGGAGGACCACTAGGCCCTTATTATACACACTATAATAAATGAACCCTAACTGTTTCGCTGCTCATCGTGATTATTTTAGGATCGAACCAGGAGGCATAAGGGTTCGGGTAGTGCAGCTTTAAAGAAAAGAAAAAAAGAAATCTTTAGCGCAAGTTACCGATGATCGAAGCAGCGATATCACGCTTAGCATTTGAAGGGTGAACACTTAGTATGGGCCCCTTTCTGTCCGCACCTCTTACATAAAAAAACCGAATCCTGTCTGCTATACCCTCCCTCTGTCATGATCTGGTAAAACGCAGCTCGTGTCTAATGTTCAGCCCTGGTAATTGGGCACTAGTGCCAATCTTTTCTTTCAGCCGTACCGACTCAACAATATATTTCGGCCGCATGTCATACTCTTTGTAGCGCTTGAAAGCGAAAACCTGCACCACACTTGTAATGCATTAGGTTATGTTATGGAAGACAAGACTTCTCTCAAGACGTACCGAGCGGCAGAAGAAAAAAAATTGCATCAATTTACCTTCACTTACCCAGTGAATTGCATTGAAAGCAAGCATGTTACACTATCAGTATCTTATGCACCACACCTTCAGCTCATGTGACGAACCTCTCGTGCACTTTGAACTCCTTTTTTCGACTTTGCACCAGTTCAATTCAACTGGACGCCATGCAGTCACGCCCGATATTTGCTGACCTATATGTTCAGAGGCTCGGCGCTATAAGCGTTGCTCGCGGTGCAGTGAACGTTTTGTTAAACCGAATCGCGCTGGATTCATAATGACTTTTATCAAGGTTGCCTTGGTATACGAGCTCCAGATTGATAAACATAGGTTATTTTTAATGCACTTAAAGAGCTCTTGAATTCATCCAAATTTGGCCGCCTTTTTCAGGGACCAAAACATCGAGATGGCATGCGTGGCAACAGTTACGTTAGCTTAGAGTACTCCCAGCTAGCTGATCGTGACGAGATAACGAGTTTCATGTGTGGTTTTTTTGGTGAATCCGCGTTCTTTTGTATGCCTTTGAAATTTTTCCTACCATTCTTCCATTGATTCGAAGCACATTGCACAAAGAAAGTACGAAATCTATGGCTACAGCGTGTAAGTCTTGCAAACTATATTTTAATAGTCGCTTGAAAAACAGTAATTGGATAGTCATAAAGTAGTGGGCACATTTCTCCCCACGTTGGTGTAGCAGTTACGATGATAGGCTGCTAACCCAAAGGTTGTGGGATCGGCCCCGACCATGGCGGTTGCATTTTGATACAGGCATAATGATAGAGGCCTGTGTAATGTGCGATGTCAGAGCAGGTTAAAGGTACCGTATGGCCAAAACATCCTGTGAACTTCATTAAGGCGTTCTCATAATTCCATAGTGATTGTGGGACGTAAACAACCCAGATATCATTTATATTATTTGTGAGCACCTTCTTTCGTGCAATGGTTTAACTACGTAGATAATTTGGCGGGAAAAAAGGCACCTCACTATAAGGGACGTCTAGCCACTCCATAGAAGAGAGCGGTGCTTAGTCACTTCTGCTGCACAAAACAGTGACAATGCAGTATACGCAATTCGCGCTCTTAGCGCCTTGTCAGTGGCTCATGCTGTTTTGAGATAAGTGGGAAAGAGATTAAGGCAGCTTTGCCTTAGTATTTCCTAGCCCAAAGAAAGTAGGTGCTGGGCCGCCTTCTCTGTTTCTCTTCAGTTTTTTTTCTTTCCTCCTGGTTTTCTTTCTCTATTTTCGCGTTTTTATCGGTGTTCTTCGTTTATTTCTATTTATTTATATTTTCCTACCTAGTGCTTCTCTTCCTTTCTCTTCATTTCTCGCCAGCTGCTTCTTTCAATTTTTCATACGTGGATTGTGTGTTCGTGCTGCCATAGCTAGAACCGCAATGTGAGCACTTTAGATCACCATCAAGGCCCTCAAAAAACAAGAGAGATAAGACTTCTCCTTGGCACGAACGCGTGCTCATTATGCTACAATTGCCACTGCTATATGTATTTTTGGATGCGTTAAAATAATCATCAAAGCACTTAAAGAGCTAATGGACAAAGGAAATTGTTTTTGTTGCGAGCACGCGCTGTATATGCAACAGCTATGCATGTTATAGATATTTGCTTTTAATTGTGTAACGCCAAGCGACAACCACAACATACTACAGCCTGGCCCCTTAAATGGCTCTTCACAAAACTTGAAATTCGGTAAGATGGTGCATAGCTGATGGAAATTTCGGGCGCAAAAAATTCACAAAAGGGTCCCAGGATTGCGCACCACGTGAAAAAAGTGGCAAAACTGTCATAATGTGCCGGTGATGTGCCTCGCCCCAAAAACGCTGGCCCAGTTGCGCTCGCGTGTTTCTCGTGGTGTAGAAAAAAAAGTTGTCACAAAAAAATCACCAGGACTTTGCGCAACGTGCAGCACACCCTCCGCGATAGCATGAAGAGCGGCTTTTCAGGGCCTTTTCTAAACACTCTGTGAGTAAATGCTAGAAGTACACCTGCTGGTTACCTACACTACACCATAAATGATGATTTTTAAGCCAGCATTATCTATGCTATCCTTCGTCATTTTTCGGAGAAGCGTGATATTCGCTAAACACTTGCAATGAATTTTGTGCGAATTTTGTGTTGCATTTAGTGGCTGACGATGATGAACAATTACGCCAGAAGTGGGTATGCGTCACAGTTATTATGTGATGATGAACAATTTTTTTCTGATGTGCTTGAGCATTGCAAGACCCAATCATTACGCGATTCACATTGTGTGACGCCTGGTTGTTCCTTTGCTGTTCTAAAAGGCATTATTACTCATATTAACACGATTCCTTTCCCGACATGAAACCTGCCTAGGGCAAGTTTGCCAACAAGTCCCAAGCACCGGTGTGGCTCAGAGGTAGAATACTGGGCTGGCACGCAGTGTACCCGCGTTTCTTTTCTACTGTGTCACCACGTGTCTTTGGTATTTTTCGTTCGAGATTTTTTTCTCTTATTTTTTGCAATAGTGGTTACGCACAATGGCGGTGGCGGACAACTGCGGCGCCGCGCGTGATCGCGTTGTGATCTCTTAACAGCTTTCGCTGTAAAAGCTTAGTGGGAAGTTCGTTAATTGCTGCACGGGGGTTTTCTATGAAGTTCCGTTCACTTGCGGTGAGTCTTATATAGGCTAGATGGGTCAATGCATCGATGACTGGATGGTGGATCATTCACACTTGAGAATGGGAGTACTAACTTGGCAGAGAATTGAGCAAGTTGTGGGGTGCGTGAGCCGAACCTGTGAAATGAAGAATATGGATAGAGGTAATGACAAGATTTTAAGGGAGTTGCTTGAAGCGTACTCTATCAGAAAGCAAAGAAACATGTGTGTCAGTGACACATCGATGAAGATTTGGAAGGTGGAAGCTGAATACCTCAATAAGTTTTGTAAGTGAAAACGTGTTAGACTTTATATAAGCAAATGACTGTGTGCGAATGCCTGATTTTCTTGTTAGATTTGTGGGTTATGCCTCAAATAAAGTTAAATGAAGGTAACGCCTGTCCCATCCTCTCCTTTTCTGAATGTGCGTTTTTTTCGCTCAAATTCCCCGTCAAATAAAGTGCTCCGCCAAAAAAATAAAAACGCCAGCTGATGCACCAGTGCCATTCCGGCAACTATTATAGAATTCCCACCTGCGACAAGCGAGCAAAATTGACTTCAGGTGCAGATGTTTGCATTTGTGTGTGCACATTTGCTCGTATACGGCTCGCATTGTCACAGCCCCGTAATTTAGCTGACGTCATTTTCTTACGCGTATGATTGGTTTGGTGGTTTACCACTGAAATCCCCTGCACTAAAAAATCGAGCAGCATGCGAGTGAGTGAAAGCAGTCACTTAGAGACCAAAGCATCTTTTGGCAAAGTCGCATTGTGACTAACTTGGTCGTGTGACTGGTAATAGTCACAGGTGTGAACTAATCTTCATTCTGTAGTGTATACAATGCATCGGAGTGTCCAGGAACACACTTCGAACGATTGCCTTAGACGAAACTGTCAATTCAACGTTGATTGATAAATATGTAGAGTTAAACGTTTCAATACCACCATATGATTATGAGAGGTGCCGTAGTGGAAGGCTGCCGAAATTTCGACCACCTGGGGTTCTTTAACATGCACCCAAATCTGAGCACACGGGCCTACAACATTTTCGCCTCAATCGAAAATGCAGCCGCCGCAGCCGAGATTCGATCCTGCGGTCATTTCAACGTGACTTCGCGAGATACGCTCCTATGTTGCCAGCCTCCATGCAAATGACTGGTTAACTAACGGGGCGATTTCGGTGAAGCTTGTTTACTGCTCAACTGCTGTGAATGCGCATCTGAGTGCAAGACTAATTCCACGATAACATCCCAACGCATGTATTTTAATCATTCACAGTGCGTGAAAAATATCCTGTATAAGTTCGCGCTTACCGGTGTTGCAGCCCCTCGGAGGGACGCGCTTTGTCCAGACTAACGAAGGAGATAGTGTCGACGACCGAGTAACCTTCCTTACGCCTCTTCTTGCACACCACGTCGAACTGCGTGCGTGCTTTAGCCGTGCTAGGTGGACTCCAGGCCAACAGCAGGCCCACGGTGATGCCACTGGTGCCGGTGGGTTGAGGCTTCGGTCCCTGGGCGTGTTGCACACATTATCGGTCAAAGCGTAGCCGAGACAGTACAAAGCAGTGATAGAACTGAGCCCCGACTTATTGAGGACATAGTATTACCAAACAACCTTTGGCTAAGTTAGACAAGATAATTACTGTGAGGGTCGTTAATATGCCACTACGAAGTTTGTGGGTTACGACAAGCAAGCGAAGAAATCAAGTTCTACAACGTTACGTTATGGGGAGGAAGAAAATAGGTTTGACTGTAGAAGTTTATACTCAACCTAGTTTTATTAATGAGGCATATTAAATTGCCGGAATTTTGATCTTGCCCTGACTAAGATCCCAGAATAAGAGCAATCAAATGAAAGGAAAGAGACATACTAAGGAGAAAGTGGCAGGTGATGCCGCCTCAGAATTTCAGCACTTAATGTTCTCGAGTAACAAGCGATAAAAAAAGTTGAGGGCTGAATCCAACAACGATGTAGGGGCAAATTTAGAACACTTCAGTATTAACACTTCTAAAAGTTGATAAATATAGACTAGTTAGGTACACAAATTAAGTGGTAGCGACTATTAGACGAATTGACGTAAGCAGTTATTTACATAATATATGTATCTGTGTAAACGGGAATCCATTCAGAAGGATCTGAGAATGCACGTTAATCACAGACTGTGACCACGTGTTGCGTGCGCACGAGGGTGTGTAAAAGAGGGTGCAAAAATCTGCTCTTTGCTTTGACTCTGTAATGGTTGCGCAGCGTTTTTGACGATAATGACGGCGGAAGGTCACGGATGTTCCATACCGAGGACAGCTTGCTACCATCTTTGTATCAAGACAGCAGGCGACAAAACAAAGGTCATTGGGAGAAGCTCAACATGGGTTCATTCTATTTCTTTTTCCGTTGTCAATCATGTGGTACTTTGGATACAACCAATAAAGGGCTGGGTGGGGCGCTGCGATGAATAGTCGCACTTAATGAGGAAGCCTATGCGCGCCTCTGACTACATTGAGATAGAAAGTGCTTATAAGCAGTTGCTTTGGCGAGGCTATACTGCACTGCTGGGCTCGGCAGAACACTCTGGGTTAGAAGATATGGGTGAGGTGCGCAGCTGCTATATATACGCATATATTGCGCACAACGTTTTATCCCATCTCAATGTAGGCTCAAATGAATAATAAATAGAACTGGCAAAATAAATACAAGCAAAAGTTATTCTACCGCACACATCCAGGCGAGAGAAATTCTTCAAATCTTTCACGGAATAAGATCTCGGGCTTACCCTAGGTATTGGGGAAAATTATTATTTCGTGAATTTGACAGAACGCTCATGCCAGGCTATTTGGTCACAATTCATGAGCCATTGGTGTAGTTCTTAACGAAAGGGTCAGAGAAGCGCTGTCTGCTCGTCCTTTTTTATCCCAGTCGTGGTGCGCAAGGCGATGTGAATTTGACAGAACGCTATGCTCGAAGCACTTAGATTCATGTTGATATCAGGCCATGCCGTGGGACGCGTCAACTCAACCCGATTAAAATAAAGCCACGCTCTACGGCACCATTACATAGTTAATGGAAATTTGGAGTCAGCTTTAACAATTCCTCAATCAACTATGATCCCTAAAAAATACTATGGTCACTGCGCCTGCCGATACAAGATAAGGAAGAAGATGCAGTTAGGCATGATCGTAGCTTGTGCTAGCGTGGTGCATATTAAAAGAAAAGGGGAAAGACGACAGAGACATCTAGAAAGGTAGGCACTAACCTTTATAGATGCCTCTGTCGTCTTTCCTCTTTTCTTTACATATGTGCTGTAAGCTAAGTTCTTGGATAACCGGCGCGGCCGAGCCACAATACAATGCAGTTAGCCTTACCAAGGATGTGTGTGTCGAACAAAAACCTTGCATGGCTCTCCCTCGTCGTAGCCCAGTGGTCGAGATTGACGGGTAGTCGAAGAGGGCCTCGATCAGAACGTCACACTCTAGGTAACAATGAAGAAGTGGGTCTTCTGACCAGACGCGTTGGCCGAGCGAAAGCAGGAAAATTCGGACCACGAGGCTTTCACTGCACGTGCATGTTGGCCACGATGACGACGGCGATTATGCTCCTTAAATCATTGGCCCAAATGAGATGGCAGACTCGTTAGCCAAAGCATCCTTAAGCGGACCACTCTTACCTATTTTACCTGATTTCACCTATTTAACAGCACTCAGATATAGAAATGCTTGTTTCCTCAAGGAAATAGAAAAATTATCATTGGATAAAGTCAAAGACTTCGTACTTCTAACATTTTTCTGGAACAAACAGTGGTGTGTATCTCGGCAGTTAGAAATTACAATCACCAGACTACGATGCAGAATTCCGCACCTGAATTACTACCTGCATAAAGCTGGATTAACAGCATCTCCGTTATGTCTCTTTTGCAAGGAATGAGAATCAATAGATCATTTATTTTTATCCTGTCAACAATATTTCTATCAAAGAAAATGATAACTGATCGAACCAATTGAGAAGTTAGCTTTAAAAATAAACGTGGATGTAATTTTATCCTTCGGAGGGATTACAATAGGTTATAGCCACAGGGAGGTTTACTCGGCCGTGTGTGCGTACATAATGACTACAAAAAGATTACTTTGTTAGTCTATTGTTATTATTATTTACAGCTACGAGACTACCTGAATGCCTGATTTAGCCCACTTGATGATTCTGCCGCCCAGTTCTTGGCCGATCCCCCTTTGTGGGCGAGTGCCAGTAAAGCTGAAGGCTCATCATCATCATCATCATTGGTCTATACCCACTCTGGGAGATAGTCTAAAATATTTTATTGCTATAAGTCGTTACAGTGTGAACTACAATGATGTGTTTCATTGTTCTTCGTCACCATGAATTGTCATCTTCCTAGTAGTAATCCGCAAACGCACCTCGGTGAGCAAAATGCTTTCATTTAGACTCGCTTCTATTAGCGCAACTGATATAAACATAGCACACAACAGAACGCGTACACTTTCATCGCTATTGTACTTATTAATTTCAAAAGTGGACTTGGTGCTAGCCCTGTTAGGCGAGTACTGCCGGGCGTGATAAAAGACACCACGTGGGCGAGACCAAGCAGACAAGTTACTATGAGTAAAGTGATATCAAGGTGTGTGAAGAACGATGATATGAGCTAATTCTGGTACTGCGAAACACGCGTTTGGATGATCACGGGCCTTTAAAACCAGGCTGTTGCAAATGCTAGCAAGCGGTACAAACAATAAGACTCCGCACGTTTTCCGAGCGAAACCAACGTTACATGGAAGAGAAGAGCGTGGTGAAATTTTACTATGCACATTGCTGCCTTAAATTTACGCCATCACGTAGCTCTTTAAGGAAATTATGCACAAACTGTTTTTACCGGTGCAGCTGCACGATAAAAATAGACTTCTAAATTTTATGATGTCGTAACCTTTTTGCAATCACACATTTTTTAACCATGTCGAATGCTGACAAAAATACACGCTCGTCTTCTGAAGCTAATATCAATAATTTGTACCTTGACAAATTTTGCTAAAATAATATAGGCAGAGCAGTTTGACAAAACTCCCAAAAAACTTTTTTAGTGTACTAAACGACATAACTAATACAATAAGTACAGGAAGACTGGTTACTAGGTCTGACTTCGTAACAAAAAGGTCACATAGACCTCGGGTAGGTTTGTAAACTGTTTGGGGAAAATAAAACAGTTGTAGGAGAAAATAAACGCCTTCACTTGGCACCATGGTACAGTTTGATTCATCATCATCATCATCAGCCTGATCACGTCCACTGCAAGACAAAGGCCTCTCCCATGTTCCGCCAGTTAACCCGGTCCTGTGCTTGCTGCTGCCAATGTACACCCGCAAACTTCTTAATCTCATCTGCCCATCTAACTTTCTGTCTCCCCCTAACCCGCATTCCTTCTCTGGGAATCCAGATAGTTATCCTTAACGATCAGTGGTTATCCTGTCTACGCGCTACATGCCCGGCTCATGTCCATTTCTTCTTCGTAATTTCAGCTATGATATCCTTAACCCACGTTTGTTCCCTTATCCGCTCTGCTCTCCTATTGTCTCATAAGGTTACATCTACCATTTTGCTTGCCATTGCTCGCTGCGTCGCCCTCAATTTAAGCTGAACCCTCTTTGTAAGTCTCCAGGTTTCTGCTCCGTAGCTAAGTACCGGCAAGATACAGCTGTTATATACCTTTCTCTTGAGGGATAGTGGCAATCTACCTGTCATAATTTGAGAGTGCTTGGCAAATGTGCTCCACCCCATTCTTATTCTTCTAGTTACTTCAATCTCGTGATTTGGCTCCACGGCTATTACCTGCCCTAAGTAGACATAGTCTTTTACAACTTGAAGTGCACTATTACCTATCTCGAAGCACTGCTCTTTTCTGAGGTTGTTGTACATTACTTTCGTTTTCTGCAGATTCATTTTAAGACCTACCTTTCTGCTCTCCTTGTCTAACTCCGTAATCATGAGTTGCAATTCGTCCCCTGAGTTACTCAGCAATACAATGTCATCGGCGAAGCGCAGATTACTAAGGTACTCTCGATTAACTCTTATCCCTAACTGTTCCCATTCTAGGCTTCTGAAAACCTGATGTAAGCACGCGGTAAATAGCATTGGGGAGATTGTGTTTCTCTGCCTTACACCCTTCTTGATTGGTATTCTGTTGCTTTATTCATGAAGCACTATGGTAGCAGTTGATCCTCTGTAGATTTCTTCCAGGATGTTTATATATACTTCATCGACGCCCTGATTCCGTAGTGTCTGCATGACGGCTGATATTTCTACTGAATCGAACGCCTTCTCGTAGTCTATAAAGGCTATGTACAGTGGTTGGTTATATTCTGAGCATTTCTCTATTACCTGGTTGACAGTATGAATGTGGTCGATTGTTGAGTAGCCTGTTCGAAATCCTGCTTGTTCCTTTGGTTGATTGAATTCTAATGTTTTCTTTACTCTGTTAGAAAACATTAGAATTCAATCAGCAGTTTGATTACAGCACCTTATATGTATATTATTTGTAGTCGTAGTAGTAATTATATTTATGTCAAGCGCAACAAGGATGTTATACTGTTAGGCACAATCAACGCAAACGCCTCCCTGAAGCTCTTGCAAGGCGGGAAGAAAAAGAACCAAGGAAACCAGTTTAAAAAGAAAAGATAACAGAAATATGAAGTAAAGAAAATCTCAGACAAAAATGGAGTGAGAACGCGGAAAAGTATACCCAAACAGGAGGTCAAACCTTTTGTGTGCAAAAAAGTTAGCAAGAACTGATGAGCCTGGTTGTATTGAGCAGCACACCTTTTTGGAAACAGGCAGCCTTTAGGCTTGCACGCTAGAGTATATAATCAGTGGATAATGCCAAATTAGCATACACACCTTAACTGGCTATGCACGTTGCGTAGTGAATGTGGGAGGCTCTAAGAGTGCCTTGGAGGAGCTGATAAACGTACCCGGCTCACTGTCATACTGTCAGTGACGATACAGAAAAGCGTAAAAATATTGTGTACAGAGCTAGCTTGACGCGAGATGATGGCGTGCCTGGGCGTCTCAACTATATGGACATGGATGTCACGTGACATCGTCACCTTAAATCATGACTTAGTCACATTATGCAAATAAGGCTTGTTAAGGTCATGCAATCTCACAACTTGTAGTGGGCTAGTCCGGTACTTTAGAATTGTGAAAAGTAAACGTTTTGGTGGTGGGTGCCATCCGTGTTCACTGACGTCGAAACGCGACCTGATTACGCTGTCGAGTCCATCTTGTAATCGTCGGAGGTCGGCGCCTGTCACGGGATTTCACACTTCATGGTGCCCATACAGTTTTGGCGTTGAAATAGTTCTAGTATCCCAGGATGCACCCGCCGCACTGGCTTAAAGGTAAGGTCTCAAACTGATGATCTCTAAGAAGTGTGGCAGCTCGGGCTGGTTCGTATGACATGACGATAGTTACAGCACGAGAACAGAACGACGACACAGAGTCCTTCAGTCCTTCTTGTCTCTGTGTCGTCGTTCTGTTTTCGCGCTATAACTATCGTCATGCTAATGGGGCATGGGTTCCGTTTCCGGTGACAACTTGCGTATTTCGAGTGAAATTATATACAACACCGGTGAACCTATACGTATCCATAGGTGCACGGTAAAGAATTACAGGTCATTGGAATTAATCTGCAGTTCCAACCACCTACTGCATGCCTTATTATCACATCGTGGCTTTGGCTCGGGAAACTCCAGCACTCGTAAAATACTAGCAAAAATGCGTGAATATTCACATTTTCTGACAGAAATATGGCAAAAATTCTCTTCAAATAATGATTAGAGTGTCTGATATGTGTATGTCTTAGAAAAGTCACAAAATAAAAAGAAACAGTAGCATTTATTGATTTTACGTTAAAATACCTGATCGAAACTACATGATAAGGCTCCAGCGCATAAATGTTTTTATAACGAACCAAAGAAAAATTGTCATGCAGATCAATTTACAACGTGGCTTGTCGACAAGGCGAAATACGTGCTGCAACACCAATGAAATTGAATAAGACCGATGATTTATGTTATTTGATGCTGCATGTTGCCTCTTCGTTTTCCAAAGATCAAACATTGTTTATGTAACATCTATGAAGGTTATTACTCTGTGTATGTTGAAAGGACGTGAAAATATGTAGGACAGATCTGTGGAATATAGCTTGCTTTAAAAAATCGTGGATCTTACACCGAGTTTCTAAAAGCTGGGGCAGAGCAGAGCTGGTCGGCATTCGTCTGGTTCTGGCTTGTCTATAGATAGGCACACGTGCGTTCTCTTGCCGAAGCATGAAGTTCTCCCGCGATAACATCATAAATTACATGAATCGGCTTGGCAAAAACGGCTTCTATTGCGGTTCACTTGGAAATGACAGCTTCACATTGCATATATATTTACCATAATCAGAATGTTAGCCTAACTGGGCTAAATATCCTGCCTAATTTGCATATATGAAGCTTCATATATATTAGAATACATCTTAGTCCAAGCTCGTCTGCATATATGTTT